AGGACACACGGCCCCAGCACACGCGAGAGACAGGCGTGGGGGGGGGGGCAGGCAACACAGTCGGGGAACAGGTGGACCGGCAAGCGAACTCCGCGAGTGGACTGCGTACGTCCCGAGTGCACCACCACTGCGCCCGCCAAGCTGCGCGCGCCTGCACCCCGCGCGCCCGACGGGGGCGCGCGCGGGCAGCCAGGCTCCAGGATCAGCCTTTCCAGCCACGGCTGCGGGGGAGCAGGCAGGGGGGAACAGGAGGACACAAGGTCCCAAGCCAGGTGGTGAGGGGGGGGGAAGGGGAAACAGGTGGCGGGCGTGGCCAACGATGGGTTGGACCAGGACCTTGCCGCAAGTTGTTGGGAGCGTAAGAAGGCGGTCGCGGCGCGCTATGCCTGACAGGGGGGGCCGGTTGCAGGCTGGTCAGCGCCTGAGGCGCTCCCCGGTCCACTTGTCATTGTACACGGAGCTGCGTGCCTGGTCCCCCCCTGCGCCCTTCACCTTTGGCAACCTCTCCTTTCTTCTGGACGTCCTGGTACAAGGCCATTTCCCGGCCCCAGCCCACGTAGACGCCGGCACGTCGACACCACGATTCCACGCGATGGTTGCAGCTGCCCACATCACCCAGAAAGTTGTCGATTATCTTGGTGTGCAGCAGTTCGGGTCGAACGCGACATGGTCTTTGGATTTGCCTCTGCCCTGCCCCTGGCACAGATGTCTGCCCCACGAGTGCCAGGCTGCGGTGAAGTGGCATCCCCCCTCGGCCTGCAGCCTCTTCAGGTGTGTGACTGCTGTCTCGTGTGAGCGGCGTTGCCAGCTGACGCGGAAGATTGTTTGTGGACGGCTGGGGTCAGGGTAGCGGCGATCGCCCCTGTGGTGAGAGCTGCGTGGACCTTCTGGCTGGCGCCAGGGGGTCCACCCTGTGCCCCTGCCACTGTCGCGGTCCTGATCCCAGTAGCGCCCCCTGGTTCTGTCCCAGTCGTCGGTGTCTTGCTTGCGCCACGGTGCCCCACTACGCCTTTGTTGCGGTCGCGGTCGCGGTCGCGGTCGAGCTCTCCAGCACGGGCCCGGTCGCTGGTTTCTCTGGACGCGCGCCTCACCGCAGTCTCGTACGACTCCCACGGAACTGGATCCCGCGCCCTGCCGCGCAAGCGCTCTAGCTCATGCGCAGGGAGGGGGTTGAGTGCGGGGCGCCTGTCTTCTGGGCCTTTGGACCTGGGCCGCGTGTGCAATGCTAGGTTGTCGGCGGCGGCCGTCAAAAACACGGTCGGTTCCGTGGGTGCGCAGGCTGGTTGGGTCTGGTATGTACTGCTTGAGTCGCGCTCGGGACTACTGCGTCGTTCGTCGCGTGGGCTCAGCTTGGCTTGGCCCTCCTCGACTGTGTCGGGGTCTGAGGATGGGGGGACCGTATGGACCATGCTTAAGGCTTCTGCGATCCTCTGTTTCCTCTCTTGTTCCTGGTCGTCGTTAGTCCAGTCGGGGTTCTCGTCCTTAGGGTGCACGAGGGGTGCAGGTTCGTAGGTGGGGTCTTGTGTGTCCGTACGCGGCGCGCAAGGTTCAGGTTTGGAGTCGGGCTGAGCCCCTTTTGGGGGCGTCGCGCTGGCGTCCCCGATGTCGACGCCGAACCATGAGCTGGCGGGGGCCGCTGGTACCTGTGCTCCGTGTGCCTCGTCGGAGGTCCTGCCCAGGAAGGCGGCTGCCTGGAGCGCTGCGTCGCCGCGGAGGACGTTCACGCGTAGCATCCTGGTACCGGCGCCCCAGACCTCCAGCCACTCGTTGTCGATCTGGACGATAAGGGTCCGCCCGTCCTGTTCGCGGAACAGGACATTCAGGACGGGTCCGAATACCGCTGCGTCCAGGGGTTATGTGGACAGGGGCTCGGTGCTGTCCGCTGAACTGAACCACCTGGCCCGGAAGAGGGTGTCGTCCTGATGACCACGTAGTCGCCGCCCTGCATGCACGGGATGTCCGTTGCGACCGGGCAGAAGGAGCCCTGGATGGGTGCGTCTGGGACTCGCCCTTGCTGCCGTTCGAGGCGGCTGGGTTCCTCGCTCTCGGGGAGGGGTTCAGGAGCAGCGCTGACGGCTGGTGGCGCCCCAACGGACTTGGTAGCCGTGGGTCGCGTGGCGGGAGGGGCCGAGGCCAGTTCGTCGCCACGCGGAGTGGGCGGGAGTGACTCGCCACCGTGAGTGGGCGGGCGGGGTGTCAGAAAGGGAACCAAACACGAGAGATTTGAGGATAGAGCAGGGCGCAAGAAGTAGGAGGCAAAGAGGAGTACTTCTCCAGGCGGGCCCGACAGCGTGCGAGGAGCGACTCAAGCGGACGCAGGCGAAAGCCCGACGCAAGGAAATGGGGCCTCGGCAACAGCCACGCAAGCACGAGGAGTGCCGGCACAAAGCGGGGCCAAGAAGCCAGCCGCCGCTCTCGACGTGGTCGTCCTCCGCCCACGGACCGCCGCACCTGGGCGTCGAGGACGACCTCACCGAACGGCCGGGGCCTCTGCGGATCCTCGGACGCGGGCTGCGGGAACGCCCCGGTGCGCGGGCCCGTGCCCGCCCGGGGCCTGCCGAGGCGGGGGGCGGACCTGGGCCGGGACGCCGCCTCGGCAGGTGCTGGGCCAGGAGCGGGGCACCGTCCCGGGAGGTGGGCGCCGCAACTGGAGGAGAAGCGGGCACTGCCCTGAGGAGAAGTGGGCACTGTCCCGAGGAGAGGGCACCGTCCCGAGGAGAGGGGACGGGGCACCGCCGCGGGAAGCGGACCGGCACGGAAAAGATGTGGCAGGCGCCCCATGCACCGTGACCCCCGCCGGGAGAGCACGCCAGGGGAAACGAGGGCGTCGCGGGCCCGGGCGGGGGGGGGGGGGGGGCAACGGGCGCATGGAAGACCACGGGCAGCACGGACAGGGCAGGACGGGTCAGCGTCGAATCGGGAGGCCGGATCGGATCCAGACGTGCGTCGGATCGGGCTGCGTCGGCACGGAGTCGGAAGCGAACAGAATCGGCTGCGCCACGATGCACAACAGCGCCATGTGAGCATCGGGCCGCATCGGACCGCCCGAAAATCGGAATCGAATCGAATCGGGCGGGCCAGAGAGGAAGGGTCGTGCGAGCCCTGAAAGGGCCCTGGGTCAACCGTCAGAGTGAAGACCCCTCCCGGTCGCTTCGCATGCCGCATCTGTCCGTGACGGGGAGAGGGGCCATCGTGGGCCCCACCCCTTGGGGGGTCCACGCCAACTAGGGAGCCCACAAAGGACGTGCGCGCCCAGCTGAAGAGGCCCTGGGACACACAAATAAATGGACACAAATAAAAGGATTCACAAAATTGTCGCATATTTTCTGGATTTTTGTCTTCCCCATACTTCCCATATTTTCCCATATTTTCTTGGGAATCGACGATTAATTGTGTCTGTGTGTTTTGTTCCCTCCTGACCAGCTGTCTACATGAACGTAACCCCTTGGCCCGCGAGACCAGCCGCGTGATACGAACGTTCGCGCCATGCGAACTCTCGAAACCGGCGTGGGGTCATGCACGTGTACGTCCTTCGCTCGCTCCTGAGCTCAAAACTGAGCCACAAATGGGACGCACAGAGACATACTAATACTTGATGTCCTCCTTGGAGACGCGCGTCCGACCCGAACATATAGCATACCAATATGATAATATGTCGTTTCCCGAGCCGTGTGGCCAGAAAGCGCCCGCCACGACGCACATGCTCGAAGACTTTTCGGTGCGGGCGTTTCCCCTGGGGGGGCCACGGACATGTAGTATAAGCATGCTGGGGTGACGCCGAACAAAGGTCAATATTCTTTCATGGAACGGACCCGCAGTTCGGCCACGGGGCCCGAAGGGGGCGAAGGCCGGCGCCCCCCGCGGGCCCCGAGGTCCGCAAGGCGCGGCTGTCCCCCCATCGCTGGAAAGCTCCGCGCTCGACCTCGCCGTCCGCACAGCGGCGCGCGTGTCCTTTGACCTTGCACACGGAGACCCCCCCAGTCCTGTTCCTTCTCCTCTTCCTCCTCCTCCTCCTCCTCCTCCTCCTCCTCCTCCTCCTCCTCCTCCTCCTCCTCCTCCCCCTCCTCATCCTCCTTTTCCTTTTCCTCCCCCTCCTCCTCCTCCTCCTCCTCCTCCTCCTCCGCCTCTTCCTCCCTCGTCATCCACCCGGTCCTCTATCTGGCCCTGGATGCCAGTCGTTTCACGCTGAGACGCCATCGTCTCTGGGCGACCACGTGCGAACCTCGAGGCACCTTAATCACAGGGCTGAACCTAGACGGTATTTCTCGTTTTCGCTTCATTTTCGTTTTGCCTCGTTTTGTCTTCAATCCGCCTCTAACGGAAAACGAAATCGAAACGAGAACGGCCCACGAAATCGACAAGACACCGTTTAGGTCCACCACACAGAGCCTCCCCCAGCCCTCCACCCGATCCTTTATCTGGCCCCGGAGGCCGGTCGCTTCGCGCTGAGACGCCGTCGTCTCCGGGCGACCACGGGCGCATCTCGAGGCCCCGTCATTACAATCAGAGTGGAATCGAGAAGGGCATACGGCAGCATGGGTCAAACACATGAGGAGGGCGAAGGTCTCAGCTATGTCGGAGGCCGGGTGGGGTCCTGACTAGAGGCCGCACAGCGAGGCAGACGGGGCGCCGTCTTCGGTGGCCTGCACGAGTGGCGCGAGGTGACGGAGACCGCGGTGCTCCATTCGAAACAGAGCCCAACCAACTGAGGGCTGGAAAAATCAACGCCGATGTTGTTTGGCAGTTTTCGCCATTCGTGCACCATTACGGGCCCTGGAGGAGCAGGAGGAGGCGGGGGGGGGAGGAGGAGGAGGAGGAGGAGGAGGAGGAGGAGGAGGAGGAGGAGGAGGAGGAGGAGGAGGAGGAGGGGGAGGAGGAGGAGGAGGAGGAGGAGAGGAGGAGGAGGACGAGGAAGAGGAGGAGGAGGAGGAGGACGAGGAGGAGGAGGAGGAGGAGGACGCTAGACTAGACCTAAAAGGTCATGCAAAAAATCATGCGTGGGGACCCCTCAGGATCCCTTCCTGGGCGTAGGCCGAGCCTGGGTTTAACCCCAGCCTCTGCCCACGCCGACCTTGTAGACGAAGTCCCACAAGGCAACGTCGGCATCCGCGACGGCCCCGATCACGAATCGCCTCCTATTCACGATCGCCGTCACGAACTTCTTGCGCTTCTCGAACATCGCGACAGCTGCAGGCCCCGACACGTACGCGAGGCCACTGTCCTTGCCGATGTCCGACGCATTCTTCTCGCTCTGCAGATCGTCGGCCGCGTCGCGACGGGACTCCTTGGCGTCGGGCACGCCAAGCCAGGCGCTGGACACCCGCGCCCGCGCTCTCCACCAGGAAGTCCCCGCGACTGCAATGCCACGCTTTGCTCCAGCATGGCTTTCTGGGTGTGCCAGCGGCGGCGGCGGCGTCCCAGCGCCTGCAGCACCGCCCGCGTCTGCCTTCCAACCCCCTTCGCGGGGAGGGCCAGGTTCAGACCCTGCCTTCCAACCCCCTTCACGGGGAGGGCCAGGCTCAGCCCTGTCCAGCGGCGCCAGGGGCCCGCGGCCCAGCCCCTTGAGGACCGCCTTGGCGATCTCGTCGCTGCTGGGCTGCAGGCTCAGACGGCCCCATACGCCAGGCGGCTTTGGGATGTAGGGCATCGCCGCGGAGCGCAGCGGCGTGCGGCGTGCGGGCGCCCCCACAGGCCGCGAACCCGCAGGCTCCGCAGCGCAGACCTCGACCTCCAATCGGAGGAGGACCACGGCGGCCTCCGCCAGGCAGATCTCGACGATGCACTCCACGGGCTCACGCGCGGCCAGCCCGCCGAAGGCCCCGAGGCGCGGCCCTGCTGCCACCTCTGCGATGGCCGCGTCGGAGGCCGTCGTGAAGCCGCCGACTGGCACGCGCAGCGCGTGCCACGCGGCGTTGCGGCGGCGCCTGCGTCGGCCGCACACTCGAGCGCCTGCAGCGGCGGCCTGCAAGGCCGGCCGAGCCGCCAGCTCTCGGTCGCGCCAAGAGCCTGGGGCGACTCCGCCAGCTGGCACCAGCAGGCCCTTGAGGCGCTCGATCTCCAGCCGGGCCTCTGACAGCTCCTGCACCAGCCGCTGAAAGAGGCGGTTCGCGGCAGCCCGGGCCCCAGCTGCCCCACGGAGGGGCTCCCGCGCCATCTGCCAGCCCAAGCTAGCTCAAGCCGAGCTGGCTTGAGCCATAATGGCTTGAGCCAAAATGGCTACGGAGGAGGAGGAGGAGGGGGATGAGGAGGAGGAGGAGGAGGAGGAGGAGGAGGAGGAGGAGGAGGAGGAGGACGACGGAGAAGGAGAAGGAGGAGGAGGAGAAGGGAGGAGGGAGGAGGGAGGACGAGGAGGAGGAGAAAGAGGGGAGGAGGAGGGGGAGGAGGATGGGGAGGAAGAGAGGGAGGAAAGGGGATGGGATGGCAGGCTGGGCGCGCTCTGGCCACACCTGCTATCCCAACCCCTCTTCCCTGTGACCTACCTTTTCCACTCGCCAATCCAGGGGCCGAGTCGTACCTTGATCCTTGAGCGGTGCTTGCGGCGCGCGGGGATCAGGCCTGGCGACGGGATGGGAGGGAACGAGGAGGATCAGGAGCAAGGGGGAAGGAAGAGGAGGAGGAGGAGGAGGAGGAGGAGGAGGAGGAGAAAGCCAGGGAGGACGACCATGTGGAGGATGCTCTCTCTAGAGGCGGGGGCACTGCTACGGCTGCACCCGTGTGAGAGGCGCACCCCCCCCCCGCACTGGACAACATCATGGGACGGAGGAGAGCAGTACTCGGATTGCGTAGTGGTAAAGGGGGGCAAGAATGCGGCAGGTGCCGAGGCGAGAGTGCCCTCCGGGACGGCCGAAGACGAGCCGACCCAGAAAGCGCATCGGGGAAGACCAGTGCCGAAGATGGCCGATCGGAAGAAATAAAGCTGGGAGCCGAAGTAGTGAGGTGTCGCACGCCGGATGTGCGAGCTCCATGGTGCAAGCTGTGCGATGCAAGCTGTGTGGTGCGAGCCATGGTGCGCAATCCATGCTGTGCAGACTGTGCAAGTGTAAGCGACATGGTGGAAGCTGTGGAGTGCAAGCTGTATGAGCGCAAGCTACGTGGTGCAATAGATGCGGTGCAAGCTTCGGGATGGACAGACCCCCCTTTAGCAAAACGTGGTTTGGCGAAAACGACCTCGGGCCCAAACCTGGCGGGCGCGAGTCTGGAAAACAACGGCCGCGGCGCCCTCTCGAGAACCGAAAACGGGCAGTTCACAAATCGACGTGTCAGAGTGGGGGCTCTGCCCACCCCCGAAAGCTGTGCGGTGCAGGCTGCAGATGCCCAGGGCGCCCACGCGGCGCCCACGGCCGGGGACCCGCGGCAGACCCAGGCTTCCCAGCCGGCGCGGAGGGGGCGCCCACGGGGTGCCCAAAGGCCAGAGGCCGAGCGCGAGCCTGGAGATCCCGGCCACCGGCACCCACGGAGCGCCCACGGAGAGGCACCGGCCGAGGCCCCGAAGAGGCCCTGCCCAGCAGCCGGAGACGGCTCCGAGGTGCGAGCACCACGTCGGGAGCACACGCGGGAGAGGCGGGCGCCAACGGGCACGCTGTCGGACGCGAGAGGAGCGCTGCTCCCCCGGCAGCCAGTCTCCGTGGGGCCCACGTGCAGGCACGATGCGGTCGGCAGGAGATGGAACGCATGGCAGAGAGATAACCTGCGCGAAACTCTGGTGAGTGGCTGCGCCCCCGTGAATCCCATTCCAGAGAGAAAGACGCAGCCAAAGAGGGAGGAGGAGGAGGAGGAGGAGGAGGACGAGGAGGAGGAGGAGGAGGAGGAGGAGAAGGAGGACAAGGGGAAGAGGAGGAAGGAGGAGGAGGAGGAGAGGGGAAGGAGAAGGAGTACGAGGGGAAGGAGGAGGGGGAGGACGAAGGGAAGGAGGAGGAGGAGGAGGGAGGAGGACGAGGGGAAGGAGGAGGAGGAGGAGGAGGAGGAGGAGGAGGAGAAGGAGGACGAGGGGAAGGAGGAGGGGAAGGAAGAGGAATTGAAGGGTGAGAGCTGTACCTTGGTGGAGGCAGAGGGGGCAGGCGGGAGCACCCTCCGGCGACGGGCGCGGCAGCGCGCCCGCCTCCCGCCGGAGCTGCAGCCGCTGCTCGCCGCACCGCCACTGGGCCGCCTGGGGCCGCACGGCGCGCGCGGGGCAGCCGGCTTTCGGGCCGGGCGAAAGGGGGGGATGGCAAAGGGGGGGGGTCAGAATCAGCTCGCGTAGCCGATTTTCCCGGCGCCTCCCGGCGCCGGGAGGCGCCCACGCATCGAGGAGTGGGCCCGACGGCGGGGCCGACACCAGCTGCATGCAGCAGATTTCGTAACCCCCCCTTTCCCTATCCCCTCCTTTCGTTCGGCCCGAGGCTTGCAGGGGCGTTGCAGTGCTCGAGGCTGGCGGCGCGCCCACCCTTTCGCCGAATTCCTCTGGCTCCAGTCGAGGCGGTGACCGTCAGCCTGGCTACCGCCGGGGACCTCGTGGAGCTCCGCGCAGCGAATCTCGAGATCAAGTCGAAAAACCGAGCATTTGCCCCCAAAAACATATACTGTACAAATAGTTGTTTCGAAGATAGCTCAAGGACCAAGCCGATCTCAGCTCTGTATCTTGAGCTCAAGTCCAAAACTACCAAAAGGTAGTCAGGACATGAGGTCTTTCCTCGTTTTCGGCCTAGGGGGGGCCCTCACTGGGCCCCGGGATGGACAGCAACAAAAAGTTCGGGGCGAACTGGCCCAGGTGGATCGGTCGTAGGGTACGGTGGGTTCGTGCGGCGTCGGCGCGCGCTCAGGGTCTTGACAGCGCGTCGATCGCTCCACCTTGAATCGATAGCTGTCCCGATCGTTCAAGATTGAATCCAACGGCGTTACCGTTTCCCTCGGTGCTTCCACGTCACAGAACTCAACCTTGAACGCCTTCGCTGGCGTCGCCGTCGCGCCAACGCCGCATGAACCTGCCGTAGGGGGAGGGCGGAAGGTTTCTTGGCAGGAGGCTGCTTCGTAGCAAGCGCCAGCCTTCCATTCAAAGACAGGGCCCGCGCCTTCTAGGAAGCAGGGGTGCTTCTAAGATCGGGGGTGGACAAACCTCCCTTTAGTAAACCTCCCTTTACTGAAAACGGCCTGGGACCTAAACCGACGGACCTGGACCCGCAAAAATGACGGCCGCGACGCCCTCTCGCGAACCGAAAACCGCCAATTCCTTAATCGACGTGTCAGGGTAGGAGGTCTACCAACCTCCGATTCTTAGCAAGCGCCAGCCTTCCATCCAAAGACAGGGCCGCTCGCCTCCTAAGAAGCAGGGGTGCTTCTGAGAGGCCTCCTGCCCCTCCCCCCTATACCCAGCCCCGCGCGTGGCCGACGAGGGCCGGAGGTGGGCACCAACACAAACACAGGCGGGGTCGCCTCCGCGGGGGGATGATGATGATCCTGGATGTTTGGCGGCGGTGGTAGCATTTCGGCCACTGGGGAGACCCGAGTATTGAGTCGGGCGTGCCTCCCCACAGGGGGATTTTGGGCGAAGAATGAAAATACCCCCACCATGCCCCCCACATGGGCAAGAATGGTCAAAAAATTGTCCCCTGGCTATTTTGTTGACTATTCTTGAATTTCCCTCCTGTAGGGGGACAGGCCCGACTTAAGCCGCGTATTGAGAAGCACATCGGCACCTCGGTGGTCTCGACCTCCGCCGCCGAGGGATCGGGACCGTCCTCGCTCGGCGGAGGCGCACCGCCACGACGAGTGCTGGTATCAACCCCTGGGCCTCCGACAGGTGTTCGAGGACAAAGAGCTCCGAGGGTCGAACTGTCTTCCTCCTCCTCCTCCTTCTCCTCCTCCTCCTCCTCCTCCTCCTGAGGCTCGAGGTTTGGCGTTCTCCGTCCTTTTTACACCTCTGGGGGGAGGGCCCTCGTCGACACAGCTGGATCCGCCCCGAAACTCGGATCACAACGCACCCCACGCTGGGCCCGGCGGACTCTTTCGACCCCCGAACAGGGAGGTGGAGGAACGGAGGACGACGAGGAGGAGGAGGAGGAATGAACGAAGCCCTTCCCCCTCCGCCTTCCCCTACCCCGTTCGCTCTCGCTCGGCGCCGCATCCCTCCTTTACCCAACTGAAGTCCTCCCTGCCAGAGAGCCCCCCCAAAAAAAAACTTACAAAAACGCTCAACGCCCTCTGTCCTCGATCCTCGATCCCTCCGTCCTCCCTCCCTCCTACGCCCCGTTCCTACTCGCCCCCGCTCGATCCTCGACCCCTCGATCCTCCCCCTCAGACACCCGACGCCGTGGTTTTTGTTCACGGCGTGGCCGTGGCACCCCAGAGTGAAGGGGCCCTGGGACACACGAATAGATGGACACAGCGAACAGGATTCCCCATATTTCCCCATACCTTCTGGGTCTTTGTCTTCCCCCCCATGTCCCATATCTTCGCGTGTCTTCCTGGGAATCGACGATTCTTTGTGTCTGTGTTTTTTTCCCCTCCTGACAGAGATCTGGATCTCTTCCCGGCGACCGGCTTTGCTTTCCCGGGCCGTTCTCCAGCGGCCCCGCGGCGCGAGGATGCCCGGGCCCTCCCTCGCCCTCGCTTCGGAGGCGGCGGCAGGGGAGACTAGCCCGTGCGCGGACATGACACGCATTCGCCGGGGAGACTCACCGAAGACATGGACCCTCGGCGCCCCTTCTGACTACCTACCAGACCACCCCAACCCAACCCGAAGACCCGAATTTCGGGTTGGGGGGGGTACGGGTTCCATATGTGTTTTCTCGATGTCCCCCGACCCCCCCCCCCAGAAATGGAGGTCAGTTTGAGGCCTTCGGATTAGGTTGGGGTGGTTTGGTGGATGCCATGCCAATATTTGTTCCCGGCCCTTTCCCCAGGACCGGGTCTTCATCCTGAGACGGTTTCTGACAGTCCCACGGCCCCGTGAGGGCCCCCGGAGACCCCAAACGGAGAAACGACATCCAGTCCTGATTTTTGACGCGACGCGAGCATGTCTGGGTGTACCTCTCACCCCTAGTCTATCCGCCCCGATCGCCGCCTCCGACGGCTCTACGCCGCCCGCGACCCCCTCCCCCAGCCACTCCGCCGTCGTCGTCGTCGTCGTCGTCGTCGCCTCCGACCGCTCGACGCCGCAAGCGGCAGCCCTCCCCCAGGCGCCTCTGGTGGCAGAGGCGTGGCGCTCCGCTCCGAGGCGGCGGGGGCCTGGGCAGCGGAGAGCCGCAGGGCGCGCGCGGGGAGAGCGGACGAGGAGCCACCCCGCACAGCACCTGGACGAGCACCTCCTCCTCGCCCGCCTCGGGCTATCCTCGTCTTCCTCCTCCTCCTCCTCCTCCTCCTCCTCCTCCTCATCATCATCATCATCATCATCATCATCATCATCATCATCATCATCATCATCATCATCATCATCATCATCATCATCATCATCATCATCATCATCATCATCATCAGCATCATCATCATCATCATCATCATCATCATCATCATCATCTCACATCATCGTCATCAGCATCATCATCATCATCATC